TCTACCAAAGTACTTTAAAATGGTATATACTTTAGCTTTGTAGGTGAAAAAAAATAACTGAGTTATTGATATTTAAACTTTAACTATTTTCCAAAATTCACCTTTTTGTCAAGGGTCAAAGGATCTTATCTCAGGAACCCTTTGACCTAGAGATGTAAAATAGGTACCATTAAGTTTCTATCATGAAACTTTATAAGTGTCCCAAATTTGAAAAAAGTCCGTATTGGTGATGGTCAAACCCTTGTTGACTTGACACGGAATATGTCTCATTTGTATTGTCTAATAATGTTCTCTGCAATCAACAAAGTCATTACAATTGGCCACATCAAAAGTCAATGCAATACCAAAAGATAAGGCTTCTTAAAGGGTAACCAGGGAAAAGATTAACCTTGGGTGCATGAACGCAGGAAACTATTCAAGATGTACTTATTTGTTTGATTTTAGCACTTATATGAAAAGTTCTCCCATTTGATACATCAATTCATGCCTCTTTAGCAATGGAGCCTTTAGCTTTATCAAAAGTTGCATTGCAACACTTTGTAGTCCTCACTCTGTTAGATAAAACAATTCAAATGTACAAATCTACCTGTTTATGTAACCTTTTTGTATCTTTACAAACATATAGATACTGCTGCATTCAATGTCTTGTATATTAAAAATACAAGTTTAATATGTTCATCCCATAAAGTTTAACATGGATGTTAAAGAGGCAACAAACAAAACTGAGTTGTATTCCCATCCAACACCCCAAAATCTCAATGTGTATTATCACTTTTAATTTAAGGATTTACTTATAGTCAAACTTTCAAGATGGCATATTTCTTATTTAAAACTCACTGTTTATCTAACCAACCATACCAAAGGTAAGATTTATTAAATATATGAAAAATTTTGTTTGATCTAATTTAGTGAAGTAACAAATTCTGCTTATAATGGAAGAAATAAAAGAATAACCAACAGTGTACTTTAGGGCTTTTTTTTTTTTTTTTTAAGGGAACTTCCTTACTAATGGAATGCAAAGACAATGGGGAGGATTCATCCCAGTGTATGTGGTATTGTAGGTCTTTGCTGTGTCTGAACATTTGACATGGAAATAGCAACAGAGTAATAAGAGACTTGTGACATCTCATCTCATTCTATGAACCAATTTTCATCTGCTAAACACTCTTTTTTTCCATTTTGTTGGTCAGCTTGAATGTGGTTTGTCACATGCAATAGTATTGCCACTAATGAAACAATGCCCACCAGCTTACTGTGCTCATATTCAATGTGTGCTCTTCATAAGGCTTCAGCCAATGTTGATAAATATGTGTAGGTGCAATTTTTGTTTATGGTGACATTCAATGACATACCTGTCTAGTATGCACTTTAGTTCGTGCTATTTTGCCAGACTGTTGCTCATTTGCTATCTGTAACAAAGCAAAAAATAAAAATAAAAAATGTTATTGGCAAGAAGATGCAATCTTTACTACCATACAGCCAACACAATAACATATGAGGCTTTATCTTTCTAGTTGCTCTCATGTCTGTGTATATATTATAAGGTGTATTTCTGCAGCAAGAATTCTCTCAAACATCTTTCATTAAATAATATAGATAAGGTTTGTCTATCAATTTTTTTTATTAACTCTTTAAGATTTCCAAATAAGTTGTTTTAGCAGTAAATTTACAAAAATTCATATTAATTTTTATTTTATATTATTTTGTGTTATATATATGTGTGTGTGTGTGTGTGTGAAAAAAGGTTAAGTTGCTGCTAAAAAAAAGTTTATTTAAAGCAAAAAATGACTGATTGGAAATGTGGTGGTTCTTTATTTCTTGGTGAAATGTTTCTGAGAAATGAAAGTTGGGTTAGATGGTGCCTAAGTAATGTGACAAATGATCAATCTGTTCAAATTCTCACTTTGCTTAAGATTTACTAAAATTGACTCCATAGTCTTAACTTAATCTTTCCCATTTATATTCTAAAAAAAAACAAAACAAAACACTAACCTTATGTATGATGGGATGCTTTTAGTTTATTTAGACACTGAAATGAGAAAAGACTTGCAAAAAAGCACATCATGCATTAACTAAATGACATATAGGTTTCACATCTTAACTATTCTGATTAGAAAAAGTGTCATTTGATTTCTCTTGCGTTACATTCATTATCTAAACATTTGTAAGTTAAAAATGAATATCAGTACTTCCCCATTTTATTTATATATATATATATATATAATATGAGAGAAACCTTTAGAAATATGCATAAAAAATTACCAATTTTATTATGTAATGTAATATTTAATTTTAACTGTAATAAATTGTTGGCAATCATTTTATTGGCATCTGCTGCAACTAAAAAGGTGTTAGATAAAAAGGGAGAAGGTTTTCAAGTTACTAAAGTGACAGCTAAACACTTCTTTAAAAAAAAAATGCAGGTGAAGGGACAAAATTGTAATTCTTTTTCTGACATAAAATAATTTTGCAACTGGTATTGAAAGCTTAAAAAATAGTATTTTACACCCCCAATGAAATGTCTCAAAATTGACTCTTCTTCTGACCGTTTTTTTTTTTTTTTTTTTTTTTTTTTCAGTGGGGTGTTGAGGTGGACACACACATTAAATTTAGTTGTATTTGTGGTCATGGGAAATATAAATATATTATAACAATTTAAGGTTGATGACAACACTAATAATTTTTGAGGAGAATCTCAAATGTTGGCATGAGAAAGTGGGACTAATCACAGTGTATACAAAATCTTAATCC